GGTCATCGAGTGGCTGGTGGTCCTGCAGCAACACTTTGCACTTTGAAGGTGCGAAGTGCATACCAAATAATGGGACCACTCTGGATAGGCTATTCAGGGTTGATTGTGCCGCCTCAACATTGTCGAAAAGCAAGACGATATCGTCCGCATAATCTAGATCAACTAACCGTTCACCAGGCAGCACTTCAACACCTACATCGTGAGATTCCGCAAGGGAACACTCCATGATAGAATCCACGACGAAATTGAACAAAAATGGGGAAATCGGGCAACCCTGACGAACGCCACTTGTAGTCGAAAAGCTATCCGATAGGGCACCATAGACCCTGACGCGGCCTCTAGTGTTCGAGTATAGAGCACGAAGGATGTTCACATATTTCGTGGGAACACCTTTCCGCGCAAGTATTTCGAACAGAATCGATCGATCGACTGAATCGAACGCACTCTTGAAACCGAGGAACACAGCTATTGTCGGTCTGCGGTATGCGTGACGCTGCTCTAGCACCTGCCGCAAAGTAAATATATGGTCTATACAGCCACGTCCTGGGCGAAAACCGGCCTGCTCTTCTCTAATCCGAGATTCCCGTTCTGCAGTGAGGCGAAGAACGATAATCGAGGCCAGTAATTTTGTCACAACTGGCGTTAGGCTAATACCCCTGTGGTTCGCACAGTCTGTGCGACTGCCCTTTTTGTATATTGCCACTATAATCGATTCGCTCCAATTAGCCGGCACACTCTCTTCGTTCCAGATACGTCCGAATAGGGAGGTCAGTGCTTTGCAGAGGACCTCACCACCATCCTTAAATAGTGCAGGTGGTAGGGAATCCGGGCTAGCGGCACGAAAACGATTAAGGGCTGTGATCGCGTTTCGGACTTCGGCCTCCGTCGGAGGCTCTAAACTAACCGTCCATGGCTCGTCCTGCATCACCTGAGTAGGAAGAGGTCCGGGAGCAGGGGGCCAGCTGAACTGATGTTCAAAGTGCTCAGCCCAACGAGCCATACGGCGCTCCTTATTGTGTATCAGCGCACCCGCGCTGTCCCTGATTGTCTCACTAACGCCTGGTTTTCTCGGACCAGTGGTGCGTATTAGCTGGAAGAGCTTCCGGTAATTGCCTACTGCTCCTGCCTCCTCCATTTCTTGAGCCCGACTGGTCCACCAGGCTTCCTTGTCAGCACGTAGGCTCCGCTTTAATTCACGCCTAATAGCCCGTGTGATCACACTGTGCTCAGAGTCAGTCGGGAGGTTTTTTCTAGATTCCAACAGATTCACCAACCCCTCGGATACTTAGTGACTGGTGCGGCGAGGATTGATACAGCAACAAACAGATGCTCCTGCGTCGTGCATGGAGGCCGAGATCATATTCCACTGAAGCTCAGTGTCATTAGAACAAGACAGCGAAAGTTCGGTACGCAATACTTATTGATAGGCTTGCCTGACCGAGGGCTGAGATAATTTCTCAGTTCCAATCGGAGGAGACGCCTGGTGCGCCTCCCGGTAAAGTTCATCGAGAAACGACAGCGTACCAAGGAATGACTAGAATCGACGCAAGTACTCCAGTACGAGCGGTAATTCAGGATGGAACCACGACACTTGTAACTTACGGCTGCGTGGTCAATTTGAGTCTATTGCTGGCCAGATACAGGAGGACGCCAAGTGACATGTCGGCGCGCAGTCTAAAAGCAGTGCTACTAAGAAACAATTGGTGCTCCGCACACAGTTGCAGCCGACACTCGCCGTTGTCAGTCCGTTCGGAGATAAGTCCATAATTACCACCCAGCTGAGGTTCTGAAGAGCTCAGACGCCCTACTTGTGCGTTCATATCCCCTGCAAATACTATGATATCTAAAATAGAAGCACCGCGTAGTAGCGCGTTCTGTTCGTGATAGAATGTGTCCTTGATAGCATTTGAACTGTAGTCGGTGGGAGCATAAACGGTAATCACAAACAAACAGCGTTCTGTACTACTTCGTGAATCAACCTTAATTGGTGTCATCAAACGGGCTGCACTGGAATCCAATCAATCAACAATGGCTCAGCCTTGGAGATTAGAATGATACCTACACCAGCTTGATCCGTGAGTGCTGCATCGGCATCTCCGGATGTGTGCAACCAATAACGAGAGGATAAGCCGGGTGCAGTTAGTTAAACAACCCCATTAGGGTCATTTATCCTAGTTTCGGACATAACACATCAATACCCGCAGTGTCCAATGTGCGTGCGAGTGCAGCCTGTTGACCTGTTTGTCTTAGAGTGCGAACGCTGAACATCGCCGTGGAAACGGAATAGCGTGGCCTTATAAGGGACTTTTGCCGATAGGCGTCCGATAGGTGCTGTGGGATGGTGGCCGCAGATGGTACTACTCCAGTGGCACTTCGGTTGCTGTCAATTAAGCTGGGAATTATAGAAGGAAGATTAGTAATGGGGGCCGGGATGGGAGTAAAAGAAGGTAGAAAAGAAGGGAGGCGCCAGCAGTAGCCTGTTTTCGCTTACCCGCCCTGCTGTATGCAGCAGATAAGGCGACCCTTGATAATCTGCGCGACGACCGATGCAGTATGAAGTTTATGAAAAAATGTCATGGTTGTATGTGGGCTGAGATACTGCCAGGGCTCCCAGGCGTAGACAGGAGGACGATTAGAGTCCTCATCCAAAGCCTTTGGCTCAAAATCCTGTCCGCAAAGCAGCGAGGTGACAATGATTTAGCTTTACAGAAATGGACGCCATCCCCTTTTAAACCCCCAACCTGGAGGACCAGGAGACTGAATTTGTCTGATCTCTCACCATTGACCAATCTGGTAGTAGCTCTCAAGGTGTCTCGAGGCATCACCCAGTATAGCTCAATAGGTCAAGTAGGTACGCAAACCGTCGCACCACATTAAGATCCAGTCTTGCTGCAACGGGCCAGCGCCACCAGAACCAAGTAAATCGTTTGCGGGAAGACTGGAGACAATGCAGCGCACCATTTCGTAACACAGAACGTCATATGGCTCGCTCGGCGGAGAACAGTGAAGAGATGCACAGTATGAACGCAGCTTGGAGTCACTGCGTTTTCACGTGGAGCAAGTTGAACCATGGCCGGTTTCACCTGGATATGAGGTTAGAAACGAGATGGTTATCATCAGTGGTTTCAGCATTGCCAATGCGGTTCTGTCGTATCTCCAAAAAACGTACCCATTTACCCGAAGCGTGGAATTTGTCCTAGCAAACCGAGGTGAATTAGTTACAGTGAGTATCAGTATCATTAGGATTATAACAAACACATGAGAATTAAGTGCGATGAGCCAATGGACCGAAAGGCTCAATCCAGAGAGCTAAGAAACTGAGCGGTTCAGCATCAAGCTAGGGCTGCGATTTGATCATCGTTGTTAACTGAGGACGCACGTTCAGTGCAATACGAACGAACAACAACAATCCGGGCATCGAAATGAGGTAAATCCGGTTGTCACGACCCATATCGCCAGAATAAATAGTAACAATGAGAAAATAAGGTTGAACGCGAATAAAATACAAACAGAGTGAAATCAAAGGGGTAAATTAAACGAAGTAGGATAGAATGAAGGTTAACAGCTAAAAGCAAGGAACCGAACGCATGGGGTAATGGCTGCACGACCGCGCCCATTCTGATATGGTCTTCAACCAATGATGTGAATCATGGTATGCTTAAGTTTGACTAAATCTCTCGGTCAATTTTCTCAAGCCTTTAGGCAACGTCATCGACTGGTCACTTCGCGGTTTCGCCCAACTTGGTGCAGCCAAGCCGTATAATGTACGCTGAGGACATGTACGGAGTGTTGCGGAGAGTCAGCGTTCAGGCCGAGAGCAGTATCGCAACACTGGATCGATCCACAATTAGAGGTCGAACGCGAATATAGATCAAAATGTGAATCTATGAAAATCAACGGCAAGTCAGACCATGAACTTGAACCGTTTGAACTGTGTTTATTAATATTAATTAGAATCTCCAATTCCGTTGTGTTACTGGTTTCCTACAACTTATTTATTGCACCATACTCCCATACAATAGAATCAGAATCCGGATGCCTCGGACCGGCTGATCTTAGTGTTCTCATTTTGTGGCGGATTGAACTGGTTGGCGGCGGTACAGCATATTCAAACAGGTTAGCCGTAAAGTTAGCGGAAATCACAACACATTTCTGGCAACGGTTAGCTGCAAGGTAGCCGTACATTCAGCGGCGTCATAACACGGAGGACATGACCTAGTCAACGTAAGCCGTTAAAATTCAGTAAACACTCAAGTGAAGCACTAGGCTTCTCATTAAAAACGAGTCAGCAGCGCTCCACCGATATTCTCAAGGAATTTGAGCAATACCACGTAAAGATCGGTTATCAAACATGATCGACTATTTAATGTCTCCACTGCGAACTGTTCAGGTCTGTGATTCATACAATAACACCGGAGTTGTCGCAGTGTAATACCCTTACCTTTCATTGACAAGCTGTTATCCACCATATCCGTCATCACCATCAACAGCAGTACAACAACTATTTGAACAGATACTTCGCTGCCGTACAATCACGACTTACGGATCTATGAAATGCCATAAAGACAATTGCTTCATTTCCCGCCACAAAATTAACTTTTGCTCACCTTGTGCTACCATACATCGGACAAACAAAACAAGGTCCTCCTCGGTAAGCGATAACCGGGTATACAGAACATGTGCCCAAACCAACGCAACTTATTCAGTGCTATCTGTTGTTCCAAGATACTAGTCTGCTTAGCACTGCCTAGCACCCAACCACGCATATCATCGTTGCGAAAAACCGGTGACATCAGACACCAACCATGGTTCGCAGACAAGGATGGTCAGACTTAAGATGCCTTAGATACTCGGGTCGAAGAGGTCAAGTCTCACATTACCTAAGAGCAGGGTGGCCTTGTAAACGCGGCCTTCCAGAAGGAGAGAAACTCCTCTCTGATGCCACAGATACAATAATTAGCTTTAACCTTTGAAATACGTGAAATGACTTGTGATTATGCGTTTGTCGTTGAACAGCAACCTCCAGAAACATTTTGCACTTTGAAGATGCGAGGCGCATGCCACTCCGTATACTCAAAATCATTTACCGTTTCACCAGGCAGCACCTCAAGGCCTGCACCGGCAGGTTCTCCCAAGGTACACTCCAGGAAGAAGCTGAATAAAGTTAGAAATCGGGTACCCTGACGAACATCACTTGTGAGAAAGATATCCGATAAGTGACCGTAGACCATGACGCGGCCTGTGGTTTTCGAGTACAAGGCATGTAAAATGCTCACATGTTTCATGGGACCAGCTTTTAGCACAAGTATTTCGAACGAAATGGACCGATCGACGAAGTCGAAGGCATTCTTGAAGTCTAAGAACACAGCTATCGTCGGCCCGCGCCACGTGTGGCTCAGCCTGAGCACCTGCCGCAAAGTAAATATGTAGTCTATACAGCCCCATCCTGGGCGGAAATCTGCTTGTGCTTCCCCAGTCCGGGATTAGAGTTCCGCAGTGAGGCGATGAACGAGAAATGTGGCTGGTAATTTTTGTCACCAACGACGTAGGCGAATACCGCTGTGTTTAGCACAGTCAGTGCGACTAACCTTGCCTATTGCCACTCGTTCCAGTTAGCTAGGATGGGTTGTTCGTCTTAGATATGTTTGAACAGGAAGGTAAGTGCATAGGAGAGGACCTCACCCCCATTCTTGTATAGTGCGGAGGAGTGGAGATGAACCCGGGACAGCAGCTCGAAAACTGTGAAGGTATTTCGGGTTTCAGCCTCCGATGAAGCCTCTAAACTAACCGCTATGACTCAGTCTGTACCGGCTGAGTACAACGAGGTACAGAAGCAGGCGGCCAACTGAACTGCTTTGTCTAACGAACCATACGGAGCTCCATACTGTGAATAGGGTTACTCGCAATGTCTAATTGTTGCGCTGACACTTGGTTTTCTGGGAGCAGTGATGCGAATAAGTTAGAAAAGTCAGCTTCTGCTATCACTATTTCTTGAGCCTTACTGGTCTACCAGGTTTTCTCATCAGCATACAGGTTCCATATCAGTTCGCGCCTAACAATCCGTCTGGTTACATTGTGCTCAGAGCCAACCGGTTTTCTTCTAGATTCCAAGAGGTTCATCGAGTTCCCGGATATCCAGCAAATGGTGCGGTGAATACTGCTGGTGCAGCAAGTAAAGGCTCACGCATCGTGCACAGCGACCGAGATCCAACTTCATTGAATCGCAGTGTAATTAGGACGAGAGAATGAGAGCTTAATACCCAGGGCATCCAGGGAGAATTGCCGGGCAGACAGATAAGTTCTTGGTTGCCAATCAAGGGAGGTGGTTGGTACGCTTCCTAGCAAAAATAATGGGAAAACGACAGAGTACCAAAATATGATCAGTCGACGTAGGTACTACAGAACGAGCAAGTCTAGAATGGAATCCCGTCACTTGTTAGTTATGGCAACGTGGTCTATTAAGGTCCATTGCTGGCCAGCTACAGGGGTAGGCCAAGTGGCATTTCGGGGCATAAAAGCGATGCTAGTAAGAAACAGCCGGTACTCCGCCTACAGTTGCAAGAAGATTGCTATTTTCCGTCCGGTCGGAGTTAAGTTCATACTTACCATCTAGATGAGCTACTAAAGAGCCCAGGCGATCTACTTTCGTATTCATATCCCGTGCAAACACGATATCTGAATTGGCAACGCTGCGTTTCAGTGACTAGTTTGTGATAGAAGGCGTCCATGGAAGCATCAGAACTGCAATCAATGGGGTGTATCAACCCCAATTGAGGTCACCAAGTGATCTGCACACAAACGGCTGCTCACGGGAATCCAGTCAACCAATGATGACTCCGTCTCGGAGACGAGAACAATGCCCATTTTAGCTTGACTAACAGCTTTCGCATCATCGTGTCCGGATGCGTGCAACAAATAGCGTGAGGACAATCCAGGTGCAGTTAGTCCAACCCTGTGAGTCTTTGACCCCAATTTCGGACATGCAACCCAGGTCAAGACTCCGCAAGTCAAACGTACGAGTGCAGCTTGTTGACTTATTAGTCAGAGCGTGAACGTTGAATGCCGCCAAGCAAAGAGGACAGCGTACCCATACTAGGGACTTATTGATTAGCTTCTAGTGGGTGGTGCGGGAATGTAGTTGCAGTTGGCCGATTTGTAGTGGCATTGTGACTGCTGGCAATTAGGCTAGGAATTACAGGTTAGTAATAGGGTTTGAGGGAATTAAACAAACAGGTGGAAAAGGAAGACAGGAACCAGCAGTAGTATGTGCTCGCTTACTCATCCTGCCCTATGCAGCAAATAAGGCGACCCTTGTAAAGCTGCGCGATGGCAGATGCAGGATGTCAAGTTTGAGGAACTAGTTATGGTTCTACGGAGGCTGAGACAATGCAAGGGTGCCCGGACGTAAACAGGACGAGTAGGGTCTTCAACTGAAGCCTTTGGCTCAGAAGCCTATCCAGAATGCAACAGGTGGCAACAATTCCGTTCTACAGAAATGGACGTCATCTCATTTCCAACCCACAACTTAGAGGACTAGGAGACTGTGTTCGGTTAATCAACCAGGTAGGAGTAGCCCACAAGGGGCACGAGCGTCTCACGCAGTATAGGTCATGGGTAGAAGAGATGCGCAAAACGGGCGAAGCTTCGGTACGGTGTGTCGGTGTACTGTGGATTCCTCTGTATCTCTCAATGGGAGCGATTTGATTCTATCAAGCACCCAATGAGGTCGGGCGGTACAAGATGACAAAGATTAGCTTCAATTGTGTCCCTCACACCTGACAAGAGTAAGCGCGAAGCGTCCTAGTATCATCGCCGAGTTGCGGCTAGGTCTTTAATCCATACCGTAACACTGGTCACGCAAGTGGTTCAAACCCTTCGCTCAATTAATGTGCTTACAGCCAGCCTTCTCCATAAATGAAAGGGGCTTTGAAAAGTCCCACCATTCTTAGGGAAGGTTGCGATAAGCATAACTTAAAGCTGATACTTCGCTGCATGCAATGGGTTCAATGTGAGTAGATGCACTATCAGAATACCCAAAACTGGGCAAGAGCGTTGACTCGAGCTTGGGGTGCAGGTGTTCCGAGTCAAAGAGTTGAACGTGCATGCTACAATAAATGAAAAATCAATCGAGTCCAGAGAAAAAACGCCGCCATCACCGAGGGAAATCAGTCAGTTGAACTCAAGTACAAAGTGAATTATTCAGTGAGCGGTGCGACGAATGCAGCAATACACGGTGTAAACAAGATATCTATTAGGCAGGTTAAGATGACCGGAGGAAAAGGTGGGTGAAGTCTCAGGTCAATAATGGAAAAAGGTAAACAGCAGTGCACACAGTACGTGAGACAAGATAGGGTCCCCAGAAATTGATAATGTACCAGCAACCGACTCCACGATGATCAATTTAGCAGGTAACAACAATAAAGAACCAGGTCTAGAGGCTTGGAAAATGTTTTATTGGTTCCTAAGGCTAGTAAAGCGCGTTAACCAAATGAGCAGACGTAGCTACAGAAAGTAAAGCGCCAGTGCCAGATTAGATCGAGTGCGAGGCCTCTCTGCTGCAGTATCGGAATAGATGCAACAAGATGATAGCCGACCATTCCAATTATCAACAAGACCGAAAGCCGTGTTTCACTTCACGAGTACTTCGACAATCCAGTCCACAAGGAACCCGTGAAGTCCCATGCTGAGCAGGTGTCGCCAGTTTTACGTTGCGGAAATTAATACGTAAGCCACAAAACTACGAGTGGGCCGTGTCATACCGTTAGAAAACAACGAAGAACATGAGAAACGTGACCGCAATTGCTGTTCTCAGTGAAATGTAAGTGCGACAAATACCATTCGGAAAGCATTTAGCGACTGCTGACGATGAAGATCAAGACAATGACCTTGCAATGAGGAAGTGATTATAAAAGTAATCGTTCAATAGTGGAATGGGACCCAAGTAGAAGTGACTGCGAACTGGTAGGCACCCAGCGATGGCACTAGATTGTCAACAACAATGAAGTAAAAGGATGACACTACAAACTGATTGACGGAAGCTCGTGCGTACAGCGACTTGGTTCAAAGTAGGCAGTAGATGACAAAAAGCCGACCGGTGTGAAGACATAAGGCTAGTAAAAGAAACATAACGGGAAGGAACAAGGCATCAGCAGTGAGCCGATGCACCACATCGAAGCCTCGCTGTCACGCGGATCACTAGCCGAGCGTGCCAGTCAGCAGATTCGAACCGGTGGTCTTTGGATTACAAGCTGAGTGCTTCATCCCGACGGGCACCAGCTGGCAGTGGATTTAACAGATCCAAATTGCGCACGAGTTGCGGCGATGGTCATGCAAAATTAGAACAAATACCGAATGAGACATAAAAGCTTAAGGTAAGCCGTCAGTGGAGCTGGCGGCTGATAATCGAAGATACATGGGGAAAATCGAACCAAAAGGGTGATCAAATGGTGGTGTGAAGCGAGACCAGTGTAGCAATCACAATGAGGAAGCGAACGGCGCAATAACGATAAGGTATTTCGCTTACTGTCAAAGGACTGTCAAAAGTGAACCGAAAGGCTTAAGAAGCCATAACTTCCATTATCCCCTCAATATGAACAGCTGATCGAGCGAGGAGTAAAGCTCGCCTTCGGGAATAAGGGAAAGCTGGGAAGATTCGGAATGTGAGCTCGTCGAAGAAAGTATCGCTGCCGTGCATGAAGCATACCAAACAGACAAGGTGCTGTACTGGAAAAATAACGCCCGTCGTCACATGTCTTATATTCTCGTCTGTGCTATGATAGCAAATAATTAGCTAGCACAATTCAATCGACTACAGGTCACGCTGATAGCCGGGGCACCGGACACGTTCAGAGCACTTGCGTCGACGTTTATACAAAAGTACAGAGGATGACCGGAATGGGGTCAGAAACTAACGCTAATGCGAGCCCTCCAACTGGGAAGACAAGCAACTGCACTGGTTGATAGTAAACTCCGAGAAGAAAATAGCGCTTAGCGGAGAAAGACAAGTGAAGCTATGGTCGAAATAGCAGGAATTCAAGAACCATCCACTATGAAGGCATGGGTACCGAGAGTGGAAAAGAGTACAGTCCGCTGGATTCCAGTGTCAGGCGGCATAAGTAGTTGTTACGCCCGACTCAGAAAACAAGAATGTCGGAAACATGTTAGTTGGGTTATGGTCTGACAGTCAGGAGTACAGCTAATAGGAGTCTGAACATCAGAGAAACTGTATCTGCTGGCAATGGTACCGGGAAGCGACACATCAACATCCAAAAACAAGAATAACTCGTACCATAGGACTCTTGATGGCCGATAGCCACGGAACGAAGAACAAAAGCAGAACAAACAACTCAGCCAGTCGGAGATGGGAAAAGCTGGGTGAATAAATTTTAACAGCAATGTATCAATGAACTTCTGGTTTGTATTGGCAAAAAGAAAGAATTCGAAGGGTCCACATTGGATTAGCGAAAGAGATGAGCGAGCAGCCGTCAGTCAATGCTGAAGAATAACTAGGTTCGAGTTAACACGGACAACATGGAACCTCTGCGAGATCGAAAATGAAAATGAAGGGGCACTTGGTTCAACAAAGCGCAGGAAAACCGTGGGTTTAATGGAAAGATGATACCAATACTGGGTGTTAGGTGATGGATAGAACCACTACCTATGGTAAAAGGCCCAATAGAAACTGATAAACCAGAAGAGCAGGACTAACTTTTTGTGGTGGCTGAGAACAATATACAGGGTTAAGGATGGTTCGCACAGTCGTGTAAGTACGATCCAGGGGTGAAAAATGGAAAAATTCGAGTCCCTAAAAGCAACTCTGGCTTTGAAATTTCAGTAGCTTTTGGGTGTAACGGATTATGCCTTTTCCTCTGGAGATTTTTTGGCTTCTTCTAATAGAGCAGAAATTAACGTGAATATACTACATACCATCGGCTTCGGCGTCTGAAGTCCACAAAGTTAGATTATCCCGAAGGAGTTGCATGATCAGAGTAGAATCTTTGTAACTCTCTTCAGATAGTTCGTCCAACTCGGCGATTGCGTCATCAAATGCAGTCTTCGCAAGCTGGCAAGCCTTCTGAGGATTGTTCAGGATTTCATAGTAGAATACGGAATAATTAAGAGCAAGTCCAAGCCTGATGGGATGAGTTGGCGGTAATTCCGCGGTAGCGATGTCTGTAGCTTCCTGGTATGCTTCGTTGCTTTTCCCGGCGACAGCCTTCCTCTCATCATCGACGGCAAACTCAGCAACGTATCGGTAGTAATCGCCTTTCCTTAACCCAAATAAAAGAATAGTGAATACTTACATCTTCAAGTAAAACACTTTAGAATCTGCTGCAATAGTGGGTTTGATAAGATATTTGTCCAGTAGTTCAAGAACTTCGGTAGAAACAGTTTTTATTTCGTTTTCAAGCACTTGACGGTACTTCTTCAAGGGGCCAGCACCAACAGAATCAGCTCGAAATTGACCAGAACCCTCAATGCTACCAAATACGCGCCACGATGTGCGACGGGCACCGATCACATTTTTATACGCAACTGATAGCAAGTTTCGTTCTTCAACCGACAACTCGGTCCCCAACTCCACAACCTTTTTCATCAGCTCGACCATTTCTAGACGTAAAAAAACGTTAGAAGAAAAGACAGCGAGTACGTAATTAATCAAAACCGTATGAAAAAGTCTAATAGAAATATCTTACCGGAATACCGCTCTACTTGTTCGGCAAGTTTGGCGCAGTAAACCAGATTCTCCCGATCACTCATGCTGAAAACGCGCGAGAAAGCTATGGCGGCCAACGACACAGCCCTCAAGAAAAGGCCGTTAATGCAAACAAACAACCAATCCACCTCTGTCATTCAATGGTTACATTAAACAAGTGACTGCTAAGTATCTGATCAGGTACGGAACTTTACCACATAATTGGCTTTTATCGCTATGTTAACTATGGACAACCCTGCGTATATCGACGTCCCACTGAGCTTTCCGGTACATTGAAGTCTTTTTAGTGAGGAAAAGTGAATCCAGGTTGTTTCCTGAAAACCGCGGCATATCTGGACTACATCTTCTATGGCGTACAAATGCGTGTCGCACTACGGGAGTTACTTCTCGTTTAAAAGCCATGCAATGCTCTGGATGCGATGCCTGGATGCATATCGCTTGTTGTGTCATCGGTCCTGATCAGTATGAAGCACTACAGCTGATGACTTCTCCAGCTATTGTTTTCTTTTGTGATGTCTGCCGTACTTCGTTTAACAACAGTCGTCTTGTGAATGGGCTGTCCTCAGTCAGCCCTCACCCCATTCCAACGAAACCCAAAGCACCCGACACCCACGTCCCCCTGATAATTCCTCATTATCCCCCTCCTGCTTCCGCACCAACCTCCATCACAGGCAAAGGAAGTCGCGGGCCGTCCGCTTCTTTCGCCGAGCCATTGGATACGTCCAGCACAATGAGCCCAAGACAAAGACGTACGCATCGGTTGTAAGGGAAAGTACCACCGCATCTGGTGGTATGTATGACGCTAAGTCGAAGTCTAAGTCCAAGTCTCCTTCCCCTCATTCCCAATTTGAATCTGTGCTTGAAAAAATTAGCCATTCGGAACCGCTGATCAAAGGCAGTGCAAATCCTTCCCAACCAAATCCCCCGGGCTTGCCCACCACCCTCCCGTTATCGATGACTCATCATCATGAATGCGCCTGAATCGACCAAAGATGCCTCAGTCGGAAGGATGTTAGACGACCAAGTGTTCCTAGAACGACTGCTCTCCGTGTTATTCGACGAATGCGATCAGGTAATCAACATTATCTCGGCTTTCCGCTTAGGTAGAAAACAAGAAGATTCCCTAAAGTCTCACAACTTGAAAGTTGTGTTCCAAGAGGAGGAAGAATGTCAACGCATTCTCCTACGGACCTCAAGTCCCAAAGCCTAGCCGTTGTATGTGTTGAGAGATCTCTCCCCGGAAGATCGGATAAAAGTGAAAAATGCTGTTGATGAGATGGGGACCCGTCGGGCAAGTGGTGAAACTGACCTTCATATCGTGGATTTTCGCGTAGTTCGGAAGATGGGTTGGAAGATAGTCATCATCAAGCCCATGTACAAAGGAGAGAACCTGTAAGACCCAGCTAGATACCGGCTCGGTTGCCTTACATCGATAGAGTGCAAAATCATGGAACGGGTCTTGGAACATGCATTTCGGTTTCATATCGAGCGGCTGGATCTGATGCCCAGTGCGCAACATGGTTTTCGCAAAGCCCGCTCCTGCTCTACAAACTAGCTTTTGGTTAGAGACAAATGGGCAAATTCATTGGACGTTGGCAAACGCCTGGATGTTGTGTTTGTGGACTTCAGCAAAGCTTTTGCTAATGTCCCACATGAACAGCTTCTCTACAAACTCCGAGGAATCGGTGTCACTGAAAACTTTCTCTCCTGGACTTCCGGTTTCCTGCACAATCGTTCCATGCTGCTGTGAGTGAACGAAACGTATTCCGATCCTGTGCATACGGCCAGCGGTGTTCCATATGGCTCTGTCCTCGGTCCCGAACGCTTCAACATCTTCTTCAACGATCTACCGTTTGAGCTTCAATAGGATTGCTTGCTTTATGCAGATGACCTAAAGATATGAAGGGAGGCATCCTCTCTCGAGGATGCTGATCATCTACATGGGAGTGTCTCGCATAGTCGAGAATAAATATTTATTTATTTATTTATACAAGAGACGCTCGATCTCCTGCACAATTGGTAGGTTCAGTAGCGCTTACCCATTAACCAAGACAAATGTTCCGTCCTACCCATCAGCGCTCCTGAACCAATCGGCGCTTCCCACATAAGTGGTTTCTTGCTCAAAATGTCACTTCAGAGATAGATCTGGGCGTGATTGCTTCCCCGGACTTATGATCCACTCAGCATACCATGAAGAGGGTTGCCTCTGCCTACAGGATGTTTCATGACATCCGATGAGGCTTCTGTCTCTTGACACCGGAACTTTTCAGACTTCTATGTACCTCGCATGTGCGCCGGATTCTGGAATACGGCCTCCCTGCTGCGTACCCGCTTTCCAAATTGGTGCGTCACATGATTCAAAAAGTCCAACGGCATGGATCAACGTTTGTCTCCAACGTACGTGATCTGCCGTATCCCCTTCGGCTTCGACAATTGAATGTTTTCTATGGATTACCATCGCCGGCGTGGGGACTTGATTTTTACCCATCGTGTCCTCAGGGAGGGGCCAGGGAGAGAGTTATAGGAATTCTTCTACCTCAATGTTGGGAGGTCGACTAGAGGCCACCGATGGAAAATATTCGAACCACGGAGGCTCAAAATACCGCCCGTTCTTGCTCTGTCCACTCGTCTTGTGAAGAATTGGAACCGGTTACCGCCGCCGGTCGTTGATGCACAGACGGAGGATCGCTTCAAACGACAACATGATTCACACCTGTTGAATATGCCGCGATCGTGTTGCTTCAGCTACCAGTGCGATGGCTCCTCCGGAGTTTCCGTTGCGCAATGACTAGCATCCCAGCAATGATCGGAAAGTGCTGAAGCTGACATGGGATCTCCACTCCTGCTCTCTACTAGCCAATGAACCAATGAACAAATGAAATCCAAGTATTCGACAGCTTGACTGAATTTCGAAGCTAGAAGCATTTTTCGCGGAACACACGAAACGCAGTTGTCTATTATATTAACTAAAACATGAAGGATTTAATTTACTCTGAAAATAATGCATGCCAGTTGTGTAAAGCTGACGTACAATGAAATGACTTCATCAAAGAAAAATAATTACAGGAAGTAAAATCTGGAACCTGTGGTTTAAGCAACAAGCAAGTGCACTGGTGTGTCGGGCATAAACGTACTATGCAAATGCTAGGTTTTTGCTTGTTTCTTTGTCTACGGGTAATCATTTGCGTTTGTTTTTCAGGCTGCAACTTAAACAGTCAACGAACGGGCTAACTAAAGTAGTTTGATTAGGTAAAATGGCAGTAGTTTGGGCAGCAACAAATAAATAGGATTTAAATGACGGTACAAACCTATACCGAAAAATATTTATGTGCAGTGCAACCTGTCTGCATCTTTACATCTGATAGGATCTTCTTACTGAATGTACCAACCATAAACTTGTTTGCGCAATCATCGCCTTAGGATGTTTTCAGCTCTTGCAGTAATGCCAATGATCAAATGGCAAGTACCTTGCGAATAGCCTTAGAAATGCCACCTTATGAATACATAAGCTTCAGAATGAAACATTACTCTGGCAATTATCGCAATAACTGTTGTACGCGGTGCCTCAGCTATTACACAACCACGACCAGTTCCATTTAGGTGCTTTATTTTACTCCTTATTTAGTTGTGACTTACGTGCGTAAGGAAATCACCTTGTCTGACTACGTACTATCCGGTCATAACGACTCGTAGGCTAGCCGTTGGCATCGGTTACACAGGTTGGAGAAGGTCCCAGCATTCTTTGCAAGCGTGAAATCATTTATTGTTTAAATCGTTCCTCTGCACATGTGGAGCACATGTAAACTTGCTGACGACAGTCCGATAAGGGATTTTACGATTTTACTGCTTCAGCAGCAATGTAATGGGGCAGCTCACTCGGAACGTCATAGCGTAATGGCATAGAATGTAACGATCGCGATGAAAGCCAAAAACCGCAAGAGCTAGAGAGGACCGGAACAGGCACAGGCATAATGATCGAAATAGGAAGGCGCAACACAGGTCGCACAGTACAATTTGTGAGACTGAGACTGATACTGAGACTGCATTTAAGAGCAAGTAGAATGGTTTCTGTAAAACTCTATCGAATTACGAAAAATCAAAAACCTTTAGTTGTGAATCATGAGCAGTTGTGTCTGGTCCGTTAATCGTTTATTCGTGTTCCTTACGAATTTGTATTGATGTCTTTATTTCCGGGCATACAATGTCTTCTTTTGGCATTGTATGTGCATCGTTCCAAAAAAGCACAGTTTTCCGAAATAATCGTCGACACGCGTTTTAAAACACTTCACAGAATCGGCCTCTAATAATCCTTCGGTAGTGTATTCCATAGGTTTACGATACTTCGTTCGATACAAATCTGATGTGATACTTTGCTCATGCTGGGGACCCTGAGTTTGTAACGGTGTCCTCCGGTGTTACAGGGTTCCCGCAGGTGAAATATTGGCCGCAGTATGGGGAAGTGATTTAAGTGTAGTACTCGATGGGTCATAATAATGTCAATGCTTACTCGGCGATAAGATAGTGTGTAGAGTCCGAGCATTTCACGACGTTTTTCATACGGAAGCTTTTGTAGGCTAGGTATCATTCTAGTTGCGATATGCTGTATTTTCTCCAGCTTTTCAGTTTCCCATTGTGTTATCAGATGATAAGCTGGGGCAGCGTATTCAAGGATTGGTCTAATGAGGGAGGTGAGTAGACGAGGGACAGTTTCTGCGGACCATGTGGAGAAGCTGCGCCTTGATGCCCAGAGCATACGAAGTGCCGCACGGTACGATCTCTCTGTATTTTTTAGTGATCTCATATCATGTCGAGAGAGAACTCCTAAGTCTCTAACAGATGTATCGGGATGGAGCAACTGGCCGTCCAAGGTGTATGATCGAGTGGCTGGGCGTCTGGTGATACTGATGAACTTCGACTTGTTTGCGTTAAGAGGGAGTTGCATTTCAGTGGACCACGTTGACAGTCACTCTAAGTCATGCTGGAGGCGAGCGCAGTCCCCCTGGTTCTCAGTGATCCTGCAGATTTTCAAATCATCTCCAAACAGGGCGCATGGTGACTGGAGCTGCTGCGGAAGATCGTTGATATGAATAAGAAGTAATAGTGGCCCAAGTATAGCTCTTTGAGGCACGCCAC